CAGTTAAGCAACACGAGCGAAAGCAAAATAGTTCGGTCAGCTATTGAAGAAATCTAATGGTATGGAAAATTTGTGATCGAAAGAGAATGAAAAAATATCGCTATCAGAACCTCTTTATAGAAAACAATCTCGCTAAGGGACACACCGTTGTCAAACAGCTTGGCGATGGCCCTGTGATAAAAGAAGACTCTGGTGACGTCTCACGTGGACGCTGTGAACCGAAGAAGTCAGGCAATGGCAGCTTAAAACTTCTTAAAATTTATGAGAAACGACTTATCACTGATGCCTGACTGAACTCGAAAATACTTCAATGTGAAAGCATACTTTACTTAAATCGGGTGCATCACACATCGGAATTGATTTCGTTTCACTTCTGAACGACAACTCATGGCATATGCTGTTGTTCTGTGACACATCGAATCTGGAAGTGACACGATCTTCACTTCTACTTCCTAAAACTGTCTTTCGTAAACGTGCTCTTCAAAGGTATCCTGAGAAAAGACCTTGACCATAAGTTTAGAATACGCAAACCTAATTATGAACAACAATACGGTCATCTTGTAATAGTTCCCAGGATCGACTTTCTCTTAACCTCGGCATTGGAATATGAATGCGTCGTTTTCTTGTTCAGTAATCGCGAGGTTTTTAAACAGCATACATTTACTTCCATAGAAAAACACAATACAACACAACAGTAGCTGACGTTTCGGCAGTATCGCCTTCTTCAGAGCCTGGAAGGGTATACTGATATACAATCTACTAGGCCAAACGCTTCAATGACACTTACAAAAAGACGAAAAACTCTCTGGTAATTACACGATCAACAACTCGAAAAAACCCACCGCTTTTTCGTGACTTCCAATAAGGAAGTTTGGAACCGTTGATTATAGTCGCATGTGGTTGACGACTGCACCATCCCACATCAAAAATCGATGCTAACATACGGGATCAGGTCGCTTATGATCTCCGGGCATTCATCCCTGTTATTCATTGTAGGGTTTTGGCACTTATCCAAAAAACCTCAAGGAGTTTTCGCGCTGGTGTTTTGGACTCCTGTCCAAGGATATTGACTTACTTTTACTTCAAAATCGTCTCCGCTATGCTTTTGTATCCTATACGTGCCTAGAGGGGTGCTTCGTCTTAATTTTCGTTTGCCATCTAGGTGTTCTTTTATACGGATACACAAAGGTCTGCCCGTTTCGCCAATATATTCATCTCCGCAATTATTATTGATTTTCTATGTATGCTGTTTAAAAACCTCGCGATTGCTGAACAAGAAAACGACAATACGGTTATTTTATGCATAAGCAATGCGACACGCTTAATTTAATGCCCAGTTTAACTATCAGCACAAATTCTTTCTATTTCTGTCCAGCAAACACGAGGTATTACTTTCTTTCCCTATTTACGTACAAGCTGATGTTTCGGCGGACTTCGCCTTCCTCAGAGCCTGTAAAGGTCAAGTTGACTACAATCTACACGGCCAAACACCTCCAAAACCAAACAGAGAAAATGCTGAACCAAAATTTCAATCACAGAACAGAGTGAACATGAACACAGAGTCTTTGCACACTCACCGCTTTCTATGAGTCTTCCACTAAATATGTCACGTGCAGACCAACCACACAGAGTTCACACGGATTCCTTCCTGCGGTTCATTTTCGGATTATTGGAATTAATCCAGAATGCCTCTAGAGTTTCGCGCGCTTGTGTTCTCGATTCTTGCGCGAGGATCGTAACTCCTACTTCAAAATCTTCCCTGTTATGTCTCTGCGTCCTATGCGTGCCTAGTGGGTATTTGGTTCACGTTTGCCGACTAGGTGTTCTTTTATACGTACGCAGGGTGGTCTACCCGTTTCGCCAGCGTATTCGTCTCTGCACGCTTTACAAGAGATCAGATAGACTGTACCTGAACTCATGCAGTTACCGTCTCTACTATTGGGGCAAATCATACAATTTTGGGTTGCACATAGACGGTCGTATAGGCGATTACGAACTAGCTGGCGTCTTAGATTACTCGGTATTTCAATTATCGTTACTGAATTCTCTAGATCGACCCTTCTTAAACAACATTTTATAGCTGCACTTACTTCATTTGAAATGAAGGGCAGTATAAACGGGACCTTATTGCCGCTAGAATTATCGTTGGGGTATCTGTGGTTTCCTCTACACCTACCTCGAGCTACAGTTTCGTAGCTATTAAAAATGGCTATTTGCCACGCCAAGTTCCGGGACTCCTCTCTCTGCTGTTTTCTTGTCCACACGCTAGTAGCTGTTGGCAACCTGTTTCGCGCCCTTTTCGTGTGAGGGGTGAGAGGAGAGGTAATGAACCAAGATGTTTTTACTACTTGGCTTTCGATACCATTTCGTAATGTAGTCGTTTTCTGATAGGTTAATTTGCAGTTCAGAAATGGAAGCCAGGACAAAGTAACTATAACGTGTGAAATTCCAATTGTAAGCCTTTCCATAAATTTCATTACGATAAAAAAGAGATACGAAATTTAGGAACAGCAAAACTTGTTTTGTTCTGTTATTAGTCCAGCCTGCCAGCGGTTTACCGCCTTATTGTGGCTGGTAGGTGTTCCTAGGTGTCAGGGTGCGATCTGCAGAGGTGGATCCACCCTCCGGCAGAATCTCCCATGCTGGGAAGGAGTTCGGCATTTCTATCACGAAGCCCAGTTAAGAGCAAACCAATACCAGGATCCACCACCGTCCTGGTATCAAACTAGTGGCATGATGGCAAATCTTCCTCTTATCCACATGGGCTGTGACTACCAGTGGTGGTGACGATCTGGGGTAGACTTCGGCCAGATTGTCCTCGTGACTCCAAGGAACCGCAATGGCTAAACCAGCCAATTTCTACAGAACGGCAAATATGCTGCTGCCCGTACAACCAGTGAAGACAGGGCATCCAAGTATCCAAGTAAGTATTAGTCCAGCAGACACTATTTGCACACCCTTCTATACCTGTTACAGAAAAAATAAGTATAAAAATATTCTTTTTTGCCTATGAATAGGTACGCTGTGCATCTATTAATAATATTTCATCCAACTTTTCCTCACCTTTCAACAGATGAAGAAGATAGGAACTCTTTATTTTGAATAGAAGTTGAAAGCGGTAGATAGTTGTCGGATGTCACCAAAGGCTGCCTGTACGGTGAAGGGGGATAGTTGCATGAAGTCATCGACAGAGAGTTGTAGACCAATGGATTTCATAAAAACATATGGTGTAAGTGAGAAACTTATAAAAATGGAAAGATCATTATGAATATCAAGGTGTCTAACCTTATCTACCTACCTAGGAAACTATTATAGTCATTCTGAGAGCTTTCCATATCATCATGAGGAATATTCGTCCGATTTGGAGTGGAAGACGCTGACCGTATATCTAATTTACTCAGTCCTGAACCGGAAATTCGGAGCAGATTTTAGTTTTATAGTATAGCTGCACTTAAGAATGCACAGTCTGAGTGGTTACTGAGGGAGGAATAACATGTGCGAAGAAATCATGACGGCAAAGTACGGTCGCAAGCTAAACCTGGCTATTCTACATTAACTACGAATTAGATTTATTCTACTACTGCAAAATGAATAGTACCATATCGGGTTTGAAAAGTCATACCTACGGATGCTGCATGTAGTGGTGGTGTAAGCGTTGCCTTTGCATAAATACTCGTACGATCAAGCTGATTGCAAAACTAGAAATAAACACTTCCGAAGCAAAAACAGTAAGACGTAATCAACACGTGTTCAAATTGTTGAGCTCACATGAGGCTGTTATAGAACCTTTATTCGGCTAACGTTTGGAGGTTTTCATTTTCATCAGAGCTGACGATCCGAGTCTCCGGTCCACAGTCGTTCGTCTTCTCGGTGTGGCGTTTTCATCTTCGTATCGAGTCCGACCTTCCTCAATGGAGCACTGCTCGAATGAGGCATACTCTCTCAACGATGCTCTTTTATATAGGGCCATGGATGTTGATAATATTGTCATGATCGAGAGATGCGATGCTGAGGAAGATCCGATTCGATACAAAGATGAAGACACCACAACGAGAAGACAAACAACTGTGGGCCATAGACTCGGACCATCGGCTCTGATAAAGAGGAAGACGTCGAAACGTTAGCCGAATAAAGATCTGTAACAACGTCGTGTGAGCTCAACAATTTGAACACATGCTGACTAGTCATACTGAGGTTAAAGTCGGTTTTGAAATAATGAAGTAAAGCAAACATAAATTAGAACAACGATTAAAAAACTTACTCTTTCCATCTCACGCGAGCTTGAGAAACCAAAGCCATAAGCAGATGTGGCTCTATCAAACTTATTTATAATGAGACGAACGAATTTTCTACTCAAGCAGGAGAAAGTGAAACACGCTGACAGTGGAGCAAAGTTGAAAATCAACTGCAAGTCTCCCGAATTTGTTATATTTGCATATAAATAAAGTGAAAAACCAGAATGTCATGAATTTCGACCTCTACTTGCTAATCAATAAAACAAATTCTAGTAAAGTGGTACTAATGCGGTTCATATGTAACTCACATGCACCAACGAATTACTATGTGTATAAATAAATGGAACTGAACTCACCTACTGCTTACTACACTTATTATGGAATTCAAAAAATAGAATTTGGAAAACGTGTGGTTTCTAAGCCGTTAGCTAGCCACTAATGCATAGTTTCTCCACATATACAGTCACTGTTCTTCCTTCTCTGGATAAAAAATTGCAACCGAATATCCGTAAAAACTACCCTCAGCTTCCGACTATTATCGTAAACCGTGTGTACAAGTAAACTATAAGATTGCTACATATTTTATATAATATCGCCTCTATCTATTGTAATCTCTAACGACAACACCTGATCCGATGATCCCTCTCTAACGTCAACAACTCAAAATGATCTTTCTCTAACTATAGCACCTCAAAATGACTGTTCTCTATCATTAACACCTCAAGATTATTCCTCTCTAACGTCAACACCTCAAAAATGACACCTCTATATCGTTAACACCTTAGGATAACTCCTCTCCATCGTCAACACCTCAAAATGATCACTCTCTAATGATAACACCTCAAAATGATCCTTAACCTTAACACCTCAAAAATGACTCCTCTCTGTGACTCGCTAACACCTCGAAATGTTCCCTCTGCATCGTTAGTACCTTAAATTGATCCCGTGCAAGAATCTTATACACATCGTCGATTGAATCGCGAACGATATGGACAAGGACTTCGGTGTTCGTCAACTCCTTCCATTGACGATCGACCATTTGGAAAATGTGAGCTGAAACCGTCTCCATTCGCTCTATCCTGAAAAAGCTTAGCTGGTCCTCAGAATGTCTCTACACAGTTTTCCCCAATGCTTTATGCTGCTGCCCAAGATACTTGCATAAGTTTTTAATCTCCCTAAGAACTTACCTTCCAGATGTTAAGAGATCGTCAATCTCCAGTCTTATCGCCTTGGCTTCAAAACTACTCATCACAACACGAACACAGACTGAGATATCCAAGGGATTGTTGATAACTGAATTGAACTTTGATTTAAACACTAAGCACAAATTTAAACTTAAAATAGGCAAAATTTCAGCACCCCTCGTTCCTTCAGTTCACACATATCCATTCGTCTGATAATCGTTGTGGGACCCAAAGTCGTACGACAATTTTTTAAAACGGCAACTGGGCAATCCGGAAACTTCATTCCAGGACAACGTCCAAGCGTTTCTTGAACGTACTGAAATATAGTCAATTTTTCATACAAGTTAGTACTCTCATTGGTTGGAAAGGGAGTTCTACCGAGATGCCCATCTAAACCTACCTATCGACCCATCTAAAGTATAGGTGCAGCAGAATATATACCGTGAAAACCCAGGTAAAACTTGTTAAAATTTGTTTCAGAACTATTAGACACCTTACACAGCTATTTCCACAATGGAATTCAACTCAAGTCGTAATTATCCAGAGATTCTGGAGCATTCCAGAGCTATCAGCAAAAGTGCAATCAGCGCAAGAAATAACACCAGTTCCGGCTAGGAATGCAATGTGGACAACCCATAGAATCCAGAAAACTTTTAACTGAGGAGGAAACGATTAGCTCTTTTGTGGATACAAAGTGACAAAAGGTATCCATACGTGAGTCAGTAACTGATTTAGGGACCAGGAAAAAGGTTATCACTTGCATGAAAACTTCTGCGAAGACATTTAGTGAGGAAATTACTTCAAAAGTCGCGAAAGCACCAGTGCACTTCCGGTCGATGTCCTAAGGTCCTGTCGCTAATGCTACGCTTAACTATAATCATTTGGGAATCTATTGACATGTGGTTGCAGACTTACGTCTTACCTTCCCACTTGGGTAGCTATTTGGTTTCTTTGCTATAGCCAGCGGAACCAAATTTCTGTATGTAAACGTGCAAATAGAAAACTCTGCCTGAGACAATATTACAAACGGACATCCCCAGAAGCTCCCGAGAAGTTGCACAGAATTCCGCAGACTTCAACACAACTTCCGATAGGTTCTTCTTCGTGAACTCTTTAGGTAAGATTTTTACCAGCAGTGCCGAGACGTCGCAGTGGCACGGAATTCTCATGCAACCCACAACTCCCACATATCGGAAGGTGGTTTATTGCCTTGCAGCTGGTTTTCCTTCAGGATGTACTGTCAGTACACAGTTCACAGCATTGCTAAAGCTTTGTTGGACTTCATGTACATGTGCTAAACTCTGAATGTGCTGAATTATCTTAAACGATCCAGCTGAAGCGACCAAAGCACTAATAGTCAGCTTCCGTGAATTCTGCTCCCGAACTTCCCTCGATAAAACGCATTCAAATGCGAAAATGCGCGCGACATCTCGTACGCGACAACGCGTACCAGGGCGAGTCGTCCCTATGGATTGGCGCAGTTTCGCCCTTTAATTTGCGGCCTTTAAACACGTGAGGTGACTACTTCATCTTTGTATTGTAATATCTTCCAGGTTTAACTGTTAGGTGATTTGTCCATAGGTTCGAATTTTAAAATCTTTGAGTTTAATGTGAGGCGTGTGTAGCGTAGTGCTTAGAGGCAGTCTGCAACACACAGGATCGACCCCGCACTCCGGGCTCACCAAACATTCATCCCTCCGGGGTCGGCAGATTGGCACCATACCTGTCTGGGAGTATAGAAGCACTGGCTCGATACCTCGGTGGACCACTGCAAGTCAGTGTAAAGGCTAGATGTTCATTCAATCACCTCCTACGGTGCTTGGTGAAGACCAATGCATTGGGCATCCCTGTGGGATCGGTTAACACCGAAAGCTTTGTCCTTTATTATATATTCTAGGCTTGAATTTTGGATAATGTGCTCATGGGTTCGAGTTTTGAAATGTTACAGTTTGAGTTGTTTGTGTTAACTTCTTATTGGTTGTAGATTTTTTCGGTCTGACTAGTTCCTGTAACTGAACTGGTATGTAACGCTAGAGATTTTACATTCTCGGATTTGCATGCTCTCCTAAAACGGTTTAAGGAAATCTCAGCTTTTACATCCAACAAATCGTTCTCTTTTCATCTTTGGCCTACAGTATCGGCGCATTGATGAGACAGTTTGTTCTTTCTCACATGCAAACACTGTGAACTCATTAGACATTCAGATGATTAGAGCTCAAGTGCCTTAAAATGTTTACTAAACTTCAATCCCATATCTGCTCCACGCTGTGCTCCGTAACGTCTACCGTTCCTAGTTATCTACTCATTGGTGAAGTTAATAAGAATTCCTACCAGTTCGCCATATTTTGGCAAACAAACAGTTTACTAATCAACGTTTATTCTTTCATTGATAAGATTACACGAAGTTGATAAACGATCTTTATTCGGATGGCATTTCGACGTCTTCGTATTCATGACAGCCGATGATCCAAGTCGTTAGTCCACAGTTGTTCATCTTCTCGATATGGCGTCTTCACCTTTGTATCGAGCTGGGTCTCCTTCAGTGGAGCGTCTCTTGAGTGAGGCATTCCCACCCGGCGATGCTGTTTAATTCGGGATGGTGGTTTTGATAATAATGGTTGTCCGGTGGCAACAACTTGTTCTTTCCCGACAATCCATCCTGCAAATATCAGCATCATTATCGGCTTGCATAGAGCATAACAATATTTAAAAACTGACTTTTCTTTAACCTTTAGCAGTTTACTGTTTCATCGAAATACAAAGTGAAAGATCTTTTTCTCATTTAACCGAGAACCGGAAAACGTACCATACTGTAGTACTCATCGGTTTTTTTGAATCGTATAACATGCGTTGTTTAACCTTGAAATTTGATCTCCGAATTACCATATGATACCAGACTACAGTTTTACCTGTTGCGATGTAGTGAGAGTTGCGTATAGCGCAGTGGTTAGCAGTGCTCTGCAATGCACATAGGTTCGATCCCGCGCTCCAAGGCCCACCAAGCCCTCCATCTCCTCGGGGTCGGCAAATTGGTGCCAGACCTGTCTGGGAGGATACCAGCACTGGTTTGGTACATCGTTAGTTCACCGGAAGTCATTGCATCGGCATATATTCAACCAGTCACCTCTAATGATACTTATTAAAGTCGAATGGATCCCTCAGGGATTGATCAACGCTGGGAGCTTTATACTTCTTTTTAAGACGTAGGAGCGAACCCTGGAAACTATTCATAGCAACCTTGTCGTCAAGAACAAAATAACTAAATCGAGATGCCTATTGTGCGTTCACTGGCGGCCGTGATTATTACACCTTCACTAGAGCTTACTCGATTTCTTAAAAACTAGTAAATATGCCCTCTTAGACCTCATTACAGGTATGCGACTGTGGTCCACTCCAGCGGGACTTTTTCCGTATTCATTCGATGAGGTTGTGTCTGTGTTTTGGGATCGCTATCCTAATTCCTTCGCGAAGCATGTTGTCTCTGAGGATGTGTTGGAACGGAAAATCACAGAGAGCACAATCGTTACGAAGAAGCTCATCGTGAAACATGGTATGTTAAGTACTTCCTTTTCCACTCCGACATCAGCAAGTGTAGCAGATCTCAGGGCCGACTTTTTGGCAACCTAGGTATTAATTAATAATTTCCTGTTTTCTTCATGAACAGAGATGAGGTTGTTATAACACTATTCTTTCACCACAACTGACATTTCGGCGGTTTTACCCTCTTCAAAAACTGGAAAAGTTAAATTGACACACGATCTACTCGGTAAAACACTGCCATAACCTGAGCAGATAAAACTTACTACGTAAATTTTATTGGCATCATAAAGAGCTTTTTTTAAATACTCATCGTTTTGTTCCTTATAGGTTTCATAGTTATAGTTGGAGACGAACGACAATATGCCTGACTTAAGTAAAAAAGTCAACTTGAGATATGGCGTGAGGTCGCGAGTTATTGCATGGCACCCTCCCTGCAGTTCATTTTTGAGTTTTTGGAATTCATGCAGAACGCTTCAAGAACTTTGCATGATGACTACGTTGTGCTGTCGTGTCCCATACGTGCCTAGTGGAGTGTACTGTCTGCTTCTAGGTTTCCCAACTAGGTGCTCCTTTGCACTAACCCGAAGGGTGTGCCCATTTCGCTAGAAAGTCAAGCAGAGTCCATTGAGCGCGTATGGGACGCAGAGACATAGTGGGGAACATTTGGGAATAAAAGTCTGTCCTCGCCCAGGAATCTGTAATAACAGCGCATAGAAATCTAGAAAAGTTTCGGATTAATTTCAGAAATCCGGAAATGAACCGCAGGGAGTGCGTTGTGATCACGCATGACCTCGCAACACACCCCATACTGGTTTCTTTTTACCTTACTCAGACAAATTCGTCTCCCATGTAGCACTGTGGAGCTGGTCTCCAATAATAACTAGGAGACCTATAAAGAAAAATATGGAGGATGTTTATAGAAAGCTGTTTACTTTGCCAGTGAAAATTTAATTTTCATTTTCTGATGTTATGAAAGCGTTTGACAGAGTATATAGCGTATGAAGTTGACCTTTCCAGGTTTTGAAGAAGGAGAACTCTCCGAAACATCAGCTGTTCTGATTACGTAATGTAGTAGCAACATTCTGTCCGCTCATCGAGAAAACAGAGAATTAAGTTTTAGTTGATTCTGTCCGCCTTACATACTTGTTCACGTTCTAGGCATTTACACAACACTAAATTTGTCAGTGCATTAAAAATCGTTTTTATTTCATGTCCATTTCTCACTAGTATATTCGTAGAGGGATATGTTTCCTCGAGTGAATGCGTGGGCAAAAAGTGCCTCCCCACTTTGGGTAAAGATATGTTAAATTTAGTCAATTGGAATAAATACATCTGTAGTACGCAGATCTTTGCAAAGGTGATGTAAGGTTTACTATCACATATTCTGCATTTTTTTTAAAAAAAAATATCACAGTTGTTACGTGGATCCAACAGCGTTCTTCGAACCTTTGTGTATGATTTCGACTCCTGCTCGGCAATTTTCGTTTTCCTTATGAATGTTGTTGGATGCCTGTTGAGTTGATTGCCTCAGAAATCCTGATATAGCCGTATTAAGGCACTCCTACGTAGATTGGTGCGATTGAGGTGATCCCAGGAAAGTCTGATACCAATTCCCGCACACTAGAGGGTAGGAGGCTTCGACATCACCATCACCGCAGTACCGTCCTCTCGTTCTTTTACAAATAGCTCGTTGGAATTCTTTATACTGTAAAGAAATACTGCTTTTTTGGATGAGGGGACGTATTTTCTGTTTCTTTTCCACGAAATTTGTATTTAGAACAGCGAAAAGTTAAGCAAGCAAGCGAGGTTCTCCCTAAAATGAGTCGACGGTGTTCTCTAATGTTTTATCTAAGTTTGTAGCTATTGAACCTGTGTTGAATTGATCACCTCATAGCAGTAGAATATATTCTTTTGCAAGTCTATTCCGTTCAATTCCACAAGTGATTTAACTATCGCGGAATTTTCAGTTGTCGACTAACCTTCGTCGCGAAGGCATTAGTGAGCTTTATCAGCAAACTATTTCCCACCCCAGAAAGTTTGCTATAACCTGCTTTTTTCCCAGCTCTTTCACCTTCCTTATAAATTTAGGAAACTCTATCCTCAAGAGGGTTCCACGTTGGTTATCACGTATGACCGAGATCAGAACCGTACCGGTTAGTTTTCTATGGATTTTGTCCATTAATTTGCAGGTTTTTAAGGCGTTGAAGGTCCACTATCTCTTTTATCTAAATTATTCCTTATATCTATTGAGGTTATCGAAGAAAGTGTATACGATCGTCGTTCGCGAACGCTTACTACTTATACCCGGAACGTCTCACACAACGAATTGTTTGCAATGCATGAGCGGTGCGTGTATCGACCATCATTGGTGAGTTGTGTTTGTCTTCACATTATGGGATTCATTGAAAAGGACTGGACTGACTCTTCTAGATGTTCTGTCTGAAAGAAGAGTCAGTTATCGTTTATTTTCAGGATTCTGTAAGCGCTCCAATGACAGAAATTTTACGTAGTGTTTATATTACAATAGACTGTGGAAGAATGAGTTCAGTATACGAGAAGTTGTTATTACTTGGCTTCAAAAAGTCTGTAAGTTCGCGCGGCTTAAAGTTGTTATTTTTTAGTTTCTTTTCCCTTTTTACTCATTTTTACCGTATATCTCGCGGGTTTTGGAATAGTTTTCACTGAAATTTCCTACTAAATTGGAAAAATATTGCCAGTTTCTCACTTTTCGCCTCAAAAATGGTTTTATGTGGCAATTCTTTTAGGTTACCAATACTAGTAAAGGACTCGTTGAATTGCTTGAACAGCGATTCGGAATTCGGAGCCTTTCGACTGTTCCGAAAGAGAAGGTGAAGATCCGAGATAAGCTGTTCAAGTCACCGCTCGTTTCCGAACTTAAATGCGAAGATAAATGAAGAGCGAAATGGATTTGAAGCATAAAATTCAACACTACTCTATTTTTGATCTTTCATCTCTTTGATAGTCGAGAATATGTGTTCGATGTGCTTTTATACCTCTCTGTAGAGTAGACGTTTAAAGAGATCCTAGTTGTCAGTGGTTGTTTTCCGGGCTGTTTACTGTTATCCTTTTCTGTTAAAGCCACATTTGATTAATCTGTTGTCCATTGTGATTGAATACACCCTTTCTTTCTTCTGAACATTCGAACATGTTTCTCTTTATTTTGTTATATGTTCTTCTTTCTCATCTCGACACCTTTCATTTTTAAACGACCGTTTATTGTCTGTTTTCGTACATCGCTAGCACAGATTAGACTGTGTTGTACGAGCGCTCAACTTGTCCAGATGTTTCCGAAATGAAATTGCAGTTAGTTTTTTCTCTGCTTTTCTCAAGCTGTTATAGGAGTGCCAAGTTGTTTTTCGCCGTTATATATTTGGAACAGAGTAAGCAGAACTTGGGTCATGATTTCTTATTGTCAGAAGGCTGTCTTTGTTATTTTATTCAGAAAATAAACCATTATCATGTTCCATTCGTTTTTTCGAGGAGCAGTAGTTGTTCGATACTTAGTACTTTCGTGGTATGAGTGCTTCTTTGCATGACAGTTTCATGTATTATTAGGAATCTCTCGAACTTAGTAACAATTGACATCACTGGAGGCTAAATATCCAGATGCTATGCATTGAACTCAATTCATGTGGACGTGTAAGATGTCTGTTTGCAACTTTTACACGTTGAGGGCTTAGTGTTTTTCCGGTTATTTTGTCTAGCAATCCATTGCCATGATGTTTGTGGTAGATGATCTCGACGATATGTGCTACAGAGCTATGACTATACTGACCTTTGCTTTCATTTACTGATGACTGGAAAATTGTTTCCTTTCAAATACTCAGTTTAGACCTATGTAAGCACAGGTTATTGTTTTCCCAGTGTTACATTTCCATTTTTCTTCCTAATGCTAAGGATTTGGGACGGATTACTTGTAACAACGTCGGTTTCCATGCAGCGGAGTTGAGCGTCGGCTGGAAGAGAACATATGTTCGAGCATGGGTAATGGGAGCAATTTGAACATCAATTTGACCAAAAACTTGCAGTCAGTTGAAGGGGTCAGGGTTATCTTCGATCATTGCCACATCTATTCTGTGAGAAGCTGATGAGCCGTATAGGACATTTGTGGGTGTGCCTCTCTGCCTAAAATCTGGAAGAGGTAGAATTGAGCGGGAAGTGTGTCGACTTTCCTGTCACTTGGATGAGTGAGGTCTATGAGTTTGGTTCGATATGTAACAAAAGTGCAACTCATGAAGGTGGTATGTTTTACCATCGCGAAATTGTCATCGGTTTCAGTGTTCGTTTTTCAATAACGAATCTTGCAAGTATTACCTTATTTTCGTTGCCTGTATAGGTTGTTCCGTCCTTCGCGACGTCTACTTCGGTGGTGGTCGTGCTTGTGTGGTCATGTCGAAAACGTTCTACAACGTGATCACAGTATCTTCCCTGATTAGTTTACTTCACTGTGCATACTCTGCGGCTCAGGTGTGTTCGAAGTTCCTAGTATTTTCAATTTTCTCACATCAGTTCTTGAATTTATGTACCACTTTTTGACATTCCAGTAGTGAATTCTACTGTTCTCAATACTCATTTTTTGGGTCATCGCGTTAGAAACTTTCATTTTTTATTGGTAGGAAAAAAGTGTAATAAGTAGAAACCCTAGTAATTCATTTTCTTACCGCCATAGATATGGCTGAGCTCATGGTGTTGTGGGTCATGTTCGAGATTTTACAGTAATTCCACTAATGTAGTCTTCTTTTTTCCTCTTTTTCAATCAATTTCGTTTTCAACAGTAGATAGGACAATGCTAGATTAGTTCAGTTAAAGCTAACATTGTGTTTTAGGCTACAGCCTCAGCTTAACTAGGTTTAACCTTAATTTGTGCTCTCCGAGTCAGTCCCGTTGACGAGTGATTGCTGATGACATCGTTTGATAAAAAATTAAGCTTCGAGAAGGGCAAAGCAAAAGCCTCAGTGGTGTAGTCGGTAACGCGTGAGCTCCCAGAAAGGGTAATCGCAGGTTCGAAACTGGCATAGCACCTCGGTGTTGCAAATATCGCAGCATATACATATATATATATGCATGTATATGTGATGTATATGAATATATCTACGTATATATTTTTTAGCATCGTTCATACTTGAGGCTTACCGAGCAACCGTTTGTGTCATTGCCGGCTGACGTACTTGCGCAGACACTAATCTCTTTGGTTGCGCTGATCTACGGAGCGTCACACGTTGCCGGACCGTTTCAACATATTAAGAGTGATCCGGTAATGATTGAAGTACATCTTTTCAGAATTTGTTTGCTCCTTTTTAGTAACCTTCAATTCATTTTCCGCTTCCACTATCTTGTCCTGCGTTACTAATGACTTAGCCGTAGTCGTCGGATGACAGAGTAACGAAAGTGCAGCTCATTATTAGGAGATATTCCTATGTAGCGGGGTGGAGCGATGGCTAGAGATACCCTGAAATAAGCATCTGGTCGTTGTTGCGATCCCCCCCCCGGGCTGATTATGCCATCCATCCCCTCTGAGTCGGAAATTGATACCGGAGTTGTTTGGGATGATAGCAACACTGATTTCATAAGTCAAATACATCACTAAACCACCGAAACTCATTGTATTGGCCAGATAAGCATTCAGTTGCCAATAACGATACGTATTGGAGTCAAGTGCATGCTGCTCTTTCGGTACTTGACCAAAGCTAGGAGCTTTGTTCTTATTATGTCTATACGTGTGCCAAATTCATGCACTTAGTGTTTGGAGGATTGTTTTCCTGTTTTTCGGATGCAACGACGTAGAGACCATTGCTCAACAGTGTGAAAAGTGAACATTTTGATAGGTTATCATTAGAAATTCGGACAAATAGGACATTTACGATTAAAAAGAGGTGAGTCAGTACCGGCTTTGACAATCTTCGTTTTACGCGCCAACATCAAACTGACGAAGAATGTCGAAGCGTTCTATATGAACTTGGGGAAGTTGTACAGAGAAGACCATTCATTCTTCAAGGTTATCATTGGGGATTCTAACGCCAAAATTCAACCAAGAAGAACGTCTGAAGAACATCACATTGGGATCCACGGATTAGAATGGAACGAACAGGGTGAGCGGCTGTCTGAGTTTATCATAACGACTAAGACCATCCATGGTAACTCGCAATTCCAGAAGCCCCACCCTCAACGCTCAACGTGGGAGTCTCCTAATGGAGAGTACCATAACGAAATAGTCCATATCATAGTAAATAGAAAGTTTTGCCTAACCGATGTCGCTGTTGTCCCAAAATTCTACACGGGATCAGACCATCGTCTCCTTCGTGCAAGATTCTATTTCTCGCGTAAAGTACAAAAAGCCGCTAAATTCCAAAACCCAAGTCCCAGAACAACCATGAACTGGGACTTACTCAATTCATTAGTCGGCTGTAAGGAAGATAACGTTGCCAATAACATCGACGAGGAATACGATCGGCTCATTCAACATGTTCACGTTAGCGCTATGAAAGCTCAGAGTTCGAAAGTCACCAAGAGACGTCTGTCTCCAGAAACACCCGAGCTGATACGCCAGCGTGGAATCGCACGAGCTGCGGGCAACCGGAACTAACGTGCGAACTTGCAAAACAATGCAGGCAGGAGGTAAAAGATCTTAAAGAGAGAAGAACAGCAGTAATGGTTGAAGCTGCAGAGGTTGAGAAAAGCAATCGCAAAGCCTATCGAAGCTTCGCCAATTACATGACCAAGATGATTGTACTCCGACGCCCAGGCTGAACAGTTACAGCGTCCAGAACAGACCAGTAAGACCGTGTCATTGTTCGAGGAGGGTGACCTACACGATATCGGCAACTATCGTCCAATCTGCCTGCTGTTTGTCGTTTACAAACCCTTCACTCGAGTCATCCTAAACAGGATTTGCAGAACACAGGACGAAGGACGGCCATGTGAGCAAGCAGGGTTTTGAAAATGATTTAGTACGATGGACCACATCCACACGATAACAAGACTCATTGAAGTATCTCAAGAGTACGAAAGACCGCTCCGTCTCACTTTCATTGATTTTGAGAAGACATTTGACTCAATTGAGATAGGTACAGTCATGGAAGCCTTTGACAGTCAAGGAGTCTCTACTTAGTACATTAAGATTCTTCGGGAGCTGTACAAAAATTTCACAACCAAGATATCACCATTCTACAGCGATATTGACATTGACGTCAAAGGAGGGGTTAGGCAAGGCGATACCATCTCGCCAAAATTATTCCATGCCACACTCCAGAACGTGATGCGAACATTGGAGTGGGATAATATGGGAGTGAAAATCGATGGTCGGCAGTTACGCAGTTTTCGTTTTGCTGATGACATCGTCCTTATAACATCAAACGTTAGCCAAGCGGAACGTATGCTTGACCACTTTGATAAAGCCTGTGGAAGATTGGTCTTCCATTGTATCTCATGAAAACGGTGTTCATGAGGAACGGATTGATTTCTCATGCCCCATTCACGCTCAACGGAACGTATATCTCTGAATGCTCCAGTTATATCTATCTAGGTCGGGAAATCAATATGATGAGCGACTTAGCTCCAGAACTGAGCAGAAGGCAACGAACGGCTTTGGGAGCATTCATGAACATCGGGGATGTAGTGAAGAGAACAAAGAACACCAGACTCCTGCCCACCTTTTCGACTCAACAGTACTTCCTGCCCTAATGTATGCGTTAGAAACCTAGTCGCTACCTAAGTAGAATGAAAGATCACTCAGCGTTATCGAACGCGCAGTCGAAAGGACGATGCTAGGAGTATCCCGCTCCACACAAGTAAGGGGTGGGATCCGAAGCTTCGATCTGCGTCAACGATAAAAAATCAAAGATACCGTTTTGTACGCCAAAAAGTCGAAGATAATGTGGTCCGGACACATAATGCGTATGAATAACAATCAATGGGCAAGAGGCGTTAGTGACTGCATTCCTCGAGGTGTTAAACGCACTGCAGGTATGCCATCGACTGAACACCAGAGTTCTTAACGAAAAGTCTAAAAGAAAGATGTGATGATCGAAGAGTCCCTAGAGTGAGCAAGATCCACTGGGCTCCTCTTGCTCGCGACAGGGATAAATAGAAGATTTACTGGTCCCCGCTCGAGTCATTCGACGATCAACGGGACCACAGGTGATTACAGGCGGCAGGTTATCACTAGAAGTTAAGCAGTTAGCTCGTGTACAAAGCTGAGAACCGGAGTAAACTCTGCTTAAACGAGGCAGGGTTTTGGTGTGAAAGTGGTTAACTTAACCCAACTTAAGGTTTGGCAAATGTAGCACCTTGTCTCTGTGCAAAGTGTATTTAGTATATCGCTATACGTACTTAAGTATACCTAAATTCGATGTTTAGGTATACTTATCTGAGTGATTGTTCACCAGGAATCATGTTGGGGTTTAATCTGGAAGGCGTTCTTTTCTTAGGGTCTCAGTTAACAGCGATAGGACGTAGTCGTCATGCAGTAATGCCCGCTGAGGTAGGGGGAGGAAGTGAAAGATCGCTTTACATCACATTACGACGACCAGGATCAAGCGCGGCCTCGGTGGCGATTAACAGTCGGGAGATTCTAAATCATCAGTGATTTAAATTGCGATCACCATTTTGTGTAAATAAGCAATGAAATGGTAGAAATTTTGAGGGCGTTATTTATTGGTTACTAGATTGAGGTTTAAAAACTTGTTTAATTCATCGGGAATTCCTGTTGCATGTCAATTTCTAGTGTTTCTCATACGTATTTAATGTCTCAGAATCGCGATCGATCATGGGACGAGGCTGGGAGTTGCATGTCTTTCATCACATTCGAGCATCGTGGCAAAGCAATGTCACCAGCTCACGCTATTGTACGACAGCGAACAGAGGAAGTGGCGCAAGTATGTCCTGCGCTTATCCATATTATATATATATGTATATATATATATATAAAATAGTATATATATGTCTACACATACGCAAATGTCTACATGTTTATGTGCATATATATGTATATGCATATATATGGGATGTATATACATGTATATGTACATAGATATGTTAATTTTTTTAACTTCCTCATTTGAACCAGAAAATGATTCTTCTGTGCAAAAGAGAGGTGAGAACATTGGAAGTTTTCCGTCTAAGTGGTATGTCTCTGATTTGACAGGTTTTTCTCTTTGCATTGTGTTGTATAAAAAAGCCACGCTATACCTTGCGTAGGTTTGCTATTGCAAAGGATTTTGGATAAAAATCTGGACCCCTTCCTCACTTTGATGGGTCCATTTGAGAGACTGAACTGCATCACAGTTCAACGACGATGAAGAGCCCTACTTTGAAGCGAGCGATACGTATATATGTATATATATATATATATACGTGTATATGTGTGTATAAAAATACATTTATATGTATACATGTGTATGTATGTATACACATATGTACATGCAGGCGCACATATATATTATATATATATATATTCGACTTTAATCCCGAATCCGTTCTTATTGGCATCTAGCGTTTTGGTGTAAACTCTGTGTAGTTTTATAGCTTTGGTGAATCTTCCAGAGACTACATCATTTAAGCGATATCCTGCACTTAGAAACTAATCATCGCGAGAATATCACACTAAGCTAAGAATGTGATATTTTATGATACGAAGACATTAATACTGCATCAATTTTATCTCTTGTTTAGAGCACTTTTTGGCATATGATGCAGTGTTGTTTTTCAGTTGGGTTCATCTTCTGGAGAAAGCCGATCACGTTTTGTAACTCTGAATGCAGAAGTGTTGGGTTGAACTGCATATATTATCCTCAAATTCATTTACACACCGCTTCTTCGATGTATTCCAGTCAAGCTCCTTCCTCTTCAACGCCTGATTTTTCGATTCTTCCTGGCGCAAGGTTACGTTTTTGTTTTACTTTTGGAAATATCGAAGTGAAAAATAAGGCCTTGCTCAGTTTTCTTATTTTGGAATGTGCTTTCCATTGTTTTGCTTCTGTATAAGAGAGTTAACTTGTACGATCGTGCACTGCTATTTCGCAGCGACTCACCAACAATTTCTGAGAGGCGCCGTGTTTGAGCTGGATACCTTTAGCAAATGGAACGTACTTCACTCGTTAAATCGTTTCCATTGAACTGAGACAAATTGTGGATGATTTTCCAGTTCCGAATGGTTACGTTTGAAGCGAATATGGTGCATCCCAAGTTATGCCCCGACTCGTGCGAACACAACTAAGTGAAAACATCTAAATCCGTTGCGCCGCCTTAAATTGGGCCTCTGTGGGTCAATCTTTAGGAGCCAGCATTTCGCTCATTATTTACATGGGTGAGTCACTGTAATGGAGATTGTGACTGCTGACACGAGCTGGATCTGCAGCATGAACAGCGAGCCGCTTCTCGCTCGACTTCATTACACTAATTTATTCAAAAGCTGTTGCCTGCTTCTGGGAGACTGAGCTGATACATTCTGAGGGTTGAAAAGAGGAACCAGATACTCTACTTCACTACCGGGAGACCTCATCACTGCCATGCAGGAAAGACTATTATACGACAGACTTCGACGTTTCTATGACAGCTATGGGGCTTCATTAACAAAGTCGGTGCGTAGGTGTTTACATCTTGGCTGTTTTACTTTACCCTACCAAGCATTTAAACAGATGACATTTTTAGACCACTTTCTACGCATGAAAATTTCACGACTACCTCAAAAAATGCACTAGTAATAGTGAAGTATCGTTGACTAAAGTGGCGTTCACGGTTTATACTACTTAATTACTTGGATACTTGGATGGCTCGTCCTCACCGGTTGTGCGAGCCCCAACATAATCTCCATTTTGTCGGGGTTTTGCTGGTTTAGCCACTGTGGTCCTTGGAATCCCGAGGTCAGCCTAGCCAAGGTCTTCGCCAGGTCGTCACCAACACAAGCAGTCGCCGCCCTTATCAATTATAGGGAGATTTGCCAATATGCGACTAGTTTGGTACCAGAACGCTAACGGGTCCTGGTATTGGTTTACTCGTAGCTGGGGTTCCTGATGAAAATGTCAAGCTCCTTAGCTTGGGAAACTGCTGGGGGGGGGGGGGGGGGGGGGGGGGGGGGGAAGGATGGATCCCTCAGCTGTACATGGCAACCCAACACCCAGGAAAAACTCCCAGCCGCGATGAGGCGGTAAACCGTTGGGAGGATTCAGATTAAATGATATCCAAAATGAAAGTGCCGTCAAAACGGACGAGGAGCTATGATCCAACATAAACATTGTTTAGTAGTTCTTTAATGTGATGATTTCTAAAGTTCATTATTGTTTATGTTGCATCTTATCTATGTAATCATGCAAATTTCATTTTCAGAGAACAGTATGATATTTATCCTTTAATGAAAAGTAGAAGTACTGAGAATGTAGTAGATGCAAGATAATTCTCTTCCTTTTGCAAACGTGCATCCTATTCCTACTTTCTTCTTTTATTTTGTTTTCAGTTATCGTTTTAGGGAATGATGCTCTTCCGTTGCGGTTCTAGAATGTCGACCTTTCTGATAATTTGAATTTTAAATTCGCACATTACAGAAATCCCAAGGAAAAGCCTTCTAGACAATTGCGCGTACTGGAAATCACTCAAAACCAAGCACAAGACGCCTTTAAGCATTGTTTAGAGGTTAGGGTTTTATGTTGTCGTATGGCATTCATGTATTTTACGGTTAAAACCGAGCTCCTGAGGCCTTATTACTTAACATGACTATTTCTTGTTGTCTTGTTACCAAGAGCTTTTTTAATGATTGGTATAAAAATTTAGTTTACTAGATAGAGTGTTCATTATCTGAGTATGGGCCAAATACACTGCTGGTTTCTCATTATCCACAGTATTATTACTTACCAAGTATAACACATGATTGGGAGTTAAAAGCACTCAAAAAGACGCAAAAGAGGCGATGCGTGATCCAAATAAGAACATCATAAGGATTTTCCGATAACACAAAGGTTCATGTTTTATGCTTGCGGTTCAATTAAGTTTATTTTCAGTTAGTAAAGTCTAGAGACAGAGAAAACTACCAGGCTGCACTAACTATGGCGCGAACATGTCATGCAGAGGTTTTCGCTGTAAGTTAATATGGGCATATTATGAGGTATCGGGCTTCAATATTTAATATTTAGCTGCTTGCCTTCAACGTTGAGGTGGCTGTTGTGCGGGAAAAGATCAGTTCTCAACGAGGAGCTAATACTGCCGGCATGTACCGTTTACAGTTTTGGCGTGATACACTTTCTGCGATATACGGCGACTCCGTTTCTCCAATACCAAGGTTTTATTCCACACCAAAATTTTCTGCTTAATATGTTCAAATAAATGACTCTCAGACTTTTTCTCTTACAACGTTCTAGGCAACCAGTTGCTATTGCTTTATGTTCATTCGCACCACATGCTTCACCATCGCTACTTGATTCTTTAGTGGTCGCCCGTCAACAAACTATGGGTGATAGACCTTTTAGCACAATTGACAGTGTTAGTTAATTAGCGCTGTTTATTGCTTCCTTTATTTGACAGCGTTTTGCATGAGTACAAAGGTTTTCTGTAGAGCTCCAAGAATTTTAGCTAGCAAGGTATGGTATAGCAACAACTGGAGCGCTTATTCGCCTAGAAGGTGAAGCACTGGTTCGTGACTGCGCTATCGGAAAGCCTCCTAAGGAGTTCGATGAGGCTGCTGATGAGTTAGGTGCTGCTTATGGCATCATGAATGTCATTCGGCAAGTGCTTTCATTTTCCTTTTTGTTTCAAAAATCAGTCACTAGTGCTCCTATTGACGGAAGTAGCTCCTGCTTTACCAACTTCAAGCTTTAATTTAGACCAAAGAATTTCCATCCGTTCAGGTCATTTTTACCCTTACTGACAATGGGGATTGTGTTATTACCTGCTGATCTTCTTGAATTGCATAGTCTTACTCCGGATAGAGTGTATAAGGGAAAAGACCCTGAAGCTGTCACTCGTCTGGTAAGGGATATGGTACAGGTTGGTGTTTAACTAATATGATTTCCTTTCTGCTTGGTGATCACTTGCGACCTCTCTCTTTTGCAAAGGGATTCTCTTTATCTCCAGCTGGAAACATCTTTGGTATTGTATCTTTTCTTAATGTGTTGAACCTTAACATGAAATAAAGTCACTTCTTTGGACCTCAAATACTACTAAGTGTTATGCTCCCAGCAAAACTCGGATTTATCCAAGAATACTTAATTACTCTATTTGTAGCTGCAAGTAATGTATTCCTTAGATTAGATTGTTTTTCTCAGGTAGCACTAACACACATCCGTGCCTCTAATGAGCTCTCCTCATCAATTCCTCGTGTACTTTACCCGTCATTAGCTGCTCCAGCCTCCGTAGTAGAGAACATTATTAGAAATGCGAAAAAGGTAAATTCTGTTTTGGCAGAAGTTCAGGAATTTTATTTTTCTTGGCAAAATAACACAACGATTGTCCTTTTGAAGGACACGATATGCAATATTCATTGATGATGTTCTATACCAGTTATTTATCCTACATTACGGGATTGAAAAACTAAGATATGCAGCTAATGGGTTGATTTAGAGGTCTGTTTTGACAGAAATATGTGATCGCTGGTTTTGTAAGGAAATATTTCAGGTAAACTACAATATCTATGATCCTACTTTGCAAAAGCAACACCCTTTTCTGATTTGGTCGCTTTTAGTGAAGAAATTCCTAGGTCTATACTAAGAGTAGTTGAGATAGTTGATAGTAATCATTTGTAGTTGTGATTAATCTTAGTACACCATTACTGGTCGCTAGCAAAGCGTTGTCGATCAAGTGGTAATTTTTGCTTTCTGGTTCATGTTGTCATTAGGTTTCTGGAGTAGTTAACCTCGTTATTGATAGGATTTATGAGACTTGTTGTAGAAGTTTTGTCAGATAAATTGCAATATATATGTTAGTTTCGTCTTACTAATTGTCGTGAATTCACTTGTCTTTCGAATCTGGTGTAACTTAAAACGTCATTCAACACGTTTTGACAATTGGGTAAACGAGTTCAGCAACTTCCTAAACTCCTTTCTTTTGGCAATAAATATGCAGGAAAGATTAGAGACGTAACAGGTCACTGAAGCTACATTCGCGATCCCAACCCATTCTTTCCGACTGTTTCTGGAGGGACGTTAGTTTGTAGTAGACTAACACGAAAAGCTAAACTACTGGGCTACCTCTCAAGTGTATGGAAAAGTTGATGTACAGTTACATTCTACATCTACTCTCTCGATTTAAACGTACGTCGAACAGCAACGTATGGTAGTAATCAATGGAAACGACCAACTCGGACAACGCTATTCTTTTATCTTAAAATGTATTTGCTTTAAACAGACGTATTTCCATTAGCTCTATGAGTTGTTTTCCAAATTTTTGTATCACAACCATAATGGCAGTTGTCGATATAATTAGATTCAAAAGGAAACTATGTACTCGTTAAATTTCTTGTTTTATCCATTAATCAATGAGCCAATAGCACTGTTTGATCCACTTCCACCAAAAATCTGACCGAATAACTTGAAGAGATCGTTGCTTCTTGGAACCGTGACGCCAGGGATGATCGCTACTAAAAGAAATGCTCATAATTTAAGTTAGATAATAGTTTAGTGCACCCAAGCAATAGTGCTATTGAAGTAAGCTTTGGCCATGGAAGAACGCATTCATAAATATGTCTAACGTTTTCTTTTTCCCTACCCAGGAAACTCCAGTGGAAAATTACCCTTCCCGGAAGCTCCCGTGCTATCCACAACACCAACTTAAGTCTTTGCTTTGCTTTCCTCTCAGTAAGTTTTTATTCATTCTCATTAACGGGTAATTACTGATAGCACTATTACAGCAAGTGTCCGAGAGAAAGGCAAAGCAAGGGCCTAAGTTGGTGTGGTGGATAGTACGTGAGCTCCCGGCAAGGGTAATCGCGAGTCCATAGAGCAACTGAAGTTCAGAGTTTTGCTAACATCTCAGCATCCTTGTGTCTAACGGTTCTGCCTGCTTAACTTACAATTTTTCCTTTGGAATTTTATGGAAGTTATATTCAAGAGAACCTCTGAGTGCGTAGAGGTCTCCAATATTACTACCGTTTCTGAAATAATGTCCCTCGATAAATAAAGTCGTGTTGTGAGTAGCAGAAGTACAGCAACTTTAAACTTTCTATAATTTTGGTTCCAAATAAAGAAACAGTGCATTAGCATGTACCATCTTTATCATCTGAGTAGGACCTTCGTACTTTTTACATGATAGAACTATCCAATTCATTTCTTTTATTTATGTTCGAACACCAAAATATCGACATGTTCGTGAATGTCTAACTGTTGTATTGACAAACAACCTGTTGCTCATTGGTCACCATATGAACTCACCTGATTAAATTTTCCATAAAGTTTTTAAATAGCTACATTCTTGTTTCTTTTTCTACTGCCATTGATTGTCGGTGAGAACAAAATAGAATTCCACGTGTTTGAAGTAGATGATTCCAACCACCAGCTTTTACATGTTGGATTACATCAATTGTGATGTTGTGCTACTTGTCTCACGGAGTGGCTTCCCAGCAACTATAAAAGACGGAGCGATGGGCGATTAACTTAGGCATCTTCGTGTTCTGTAATTTATTCAGGGCCTGATGTCGCTCAAACTGGCGGCTCAGCTCTGGCACATGTAATTCGATTCATCTACTTTCCATGCTTACGTGGGGGCGCGTGTGGGGCAGTGGTCGGAGGCGCCCTGCAACACGTGGGATCGGTCCCCGCGCCCATGGCCCACCAAGCCTTCCATCCCTCCGAGGTTAGCAAATTGGTACCAGATATGTCTGGGAGCACAGCAGTACTGGCTCGATACATCGGTAGGCCACCGCGAGTCATTGTAAAGGCCAGATATGCATTCAATCACCTCCAAACTATGCTTAGTGAAGTCGAATGCATGGCGCATCCCTCAGGGATTGATCAACGCCGAGAGCTTTATCCTTTTTACTTTCCATGCTAACATGTGGAGAATGTGGCGGTAATCGCTCTGTTGAACGTGAGCAGGACACCCAGATTAAACACATTTTGATGAACAACATTTTTAAAGGACTTCATTTTAATCCGATAATTCTATATGTGCTACTGACCGTTTTCATTCCAGTTACTCGTTATTTCGTGATTAGCACAACAGCGTCGGTGCATGAAATATACAACTTTTCCGCAAGGATCTTTAATTCCCATTTTAATTCGCTTCATATTTCCTTATGCAGTTTTCGATCGCTCAGAGTTCTGATGATGACATGTAAACTTTTCGTAAAATTTTTATAGAGCTGATAAAAACTGCGACACCTTGAGATGAAATTCTCTACTTGTCAAAGACGAAGTAACGGACTTCGTTTCCATTGAGTTGGTGATAGAAAATAGGAACAGCAAAACATGTACTCTCGACGTTCTTCGGCGAGCTTCGTGACGTACGCAATCGACCGTGTCAGATCAACTTCAAGGTACAGGTTATCTACATGTCTACGTTCGACGTGCAGAACAAGCATGGTTAGATTGTGGGCTTCTCGATCCCGTTTCCGAATTTCTCGGAACATACGATCTTGCGATGCCCTTGAATCAGCAGTTCTTCGAACGGCAAAATTGAAATCCATGTGCGGTTCGATGATCCAAATATTGCACTCGTCGCCACCCACACTCTGTTGCTTTAAAAGAATGCAAATCCAAAGAAAATTCAGTACTCGAGATCTGCACGATAGGTACGCGGTGCGTCATCCTGGAATGTCGATCAATCCTCTGATGACGGTTTTCATTTTGTTTTTTAGAATGTAGCTGCACTTTTTCATGAACAAGCTTAGGTACTTGGCTTGAATAAAAAAGTACACAACCCGATCACTGAGCATTACGACTAATCATTACGACGACATTTGATCGAATAATTAGTAATTTAGCTAATCTTGGTTCAGAAAACTTTGATGGTGATTTTATGTTGGGTCGCTACAGTTTACTTCAACTCACAAGTTGTTAAGACATTGACTTACGTATGGAGTTAGTAGAGGTGAATTTGATCTTACAGCGATCAGGCACCCTTATTTTTCTATGGGAATATGACGGCGTAATTTGGAAATGTGAACTATAGATCGACTTATCTATTGCATCTGGCGGTGAGTTCTTGAATGAGTGAAAGCGATGTGTGGTGGATAGGAAATAATCAAAATAACAACTGAATTGCAGTCAATTGTCAATCAAAAGCATCAAAATTGTTGTACTTGGAACAATGGTGAATTATTGGGGGTTAGTGCAGATGTTTTTATTCGCATCTGTAATGTACACAACAATGTTGTTGTTTCCTCTCCTCCATAATCTTTTGTTTGCACTGCTTCGAGACTGGGACAGTATATTCCCAGGTGTGCTTACTCAAAGTGAGGTGAGCATGCATTTTAATAATGAATTTGACAAGAAAACACAGACGATGTCAGTGCACTACAGGGTACACGTTATGAAACTAACATAATAGAACTAGTACGCCCATTCCTGGATACTTTTGTGTCTCAAGGAAATCAGATTTCTCTTCCTTTTTTATGTTTAACATCTTATTTACCATCCGAGACATCCATATAAAGTATGTAAAGAACTCAGAAACTAAACAAAAACACTTAAAGTGAGGATATTTTCGGTAGCAATCGATAAAAGTAATAGCTGAGTAATATTATATACTTTTCCCGTTATTCACGGCTTCAGTGATATCGTATTAAGACGGAAGAAGTCTATTAGCTAGTGATAACGTTAAGCCGACTCACTGTTAGACTGAGATGTCGTGGTTGGAGGGGGCGGGAGCGCAACGCATTTGCCGCCTTTCTGCTCAAATCCGCATCGACACATGCAGCGACCGCGGTAACAGCCAGAGTTTTGTGGACATTGTCTTTGCACAAAGCAAAGACTACCAAGGCCACCAGGCTACGAGATAAAAATTAAATACATGTACTACTTCGAACCAAGAAGAGTTCTACCTTCATGCAGCTTGTGTCTTTGCTGAGCGCTTCTGACTCGCAGTCTCGCGAACATGTCTGCGATGGGTTCTTAGCAGGGTGTGTCAAAGAATCAACAGTTGGATGGAATCCCGATAAACATTGGCACTGGCCCTGGAAAAGTGTAGTAGTGAAGTCAACAAAAAACATGGATAAACGCTACGATCCCTACTACTATTAGTTCACTTACGAATTAGATCAAACATTTTCGATGATAGTTCACTAACAAGAACGACATAGAGTTCGTCTAGTCGGAAAGTCACCGTTAACATAAAACCGACTTTGACACATTCCATTCCTTCGCCTCCACCACATTGGGCATTAGTGGTACAAGCAGAGTTGAGCTGTCCCCGAGGTATACACTAAAATGATACGAATCTTCATTTTCGTTGTCTAGCTAAATTGTTTTAAAGATCACGGAAGACATCTTGGAAAAGATACCTCATTGTTAGCATAGAGCGCATTAGGAGCAAGTGCATTGCATGGGCGACGGCAACATACCGCTTGAGAGACAAATCCATCTAAAACAATGTAAAATTCAGGTCGGTGGAATCAAATTCTAGCCTAAATTGAAGTCGGTACCATACTCCAATTCCTCTTCCTAGAAAAGGACAATTGAATATCCATGAATCTAATGCTATTGTGTGTTAATGAGTAGGAACCAATAAAGCTCGATAAGGCAAAATGATAAACGATCTCATTGGATAACAAAACAATAGTTCAGGCACCGTTTAAGCACTTGTCTGTCGCCTACTTGGCTCCCATGTAACTACTGTCTTTTTTGTGTGAATACCGTAGAGGACATCAGTAGTAACAGCTAATAATTCTGAGCAGGTTGAAGAATATTGTGCTGTGCAAAGGAAAACGTCTTACATGAACAGCGACCTAACCTGATAGCAAATGACAGAAATGAGTATCACTAGGGCACCGCTGTGGTCGGGTTGCATTGGGTTCACATGAGTACTTTGTGTCAACATGACTGGCCAGTGGACAAACCACTGGGCAGCAATGTCCAACAAGCGAATCTGGAGCTGTGACGCAGGATTGTCCTAGTGGACAGTCATCTTGATTTGACGGCAGATTAAACGCCTATGTGTAAAAAGAATATCAATTACTTCCTTTTGGTAGAAATCTAATAAAAGAAGTTATTGAAAAACAAACAAGGGATGCTTCCGTTCTGATAACGCAGGTCTGACCGGGTAGACCGCCTAGCGGGCAATTTGCCGCTGCAACGCACCGAGATCCCTGAAAATCTAGACTGCACCAAGCGCAAAAGAGCAAATGATATGGAAAACAGCCTTGATTTCCCGGTCGTAAGGCTTTAAGAGAATCAAATTTAAGAAAAAAGTGTGCAAAGTAGTGGTGACTAAGAATATACACTACTAATTCATAGTTCTAGTGATGTATGAAGCACTTTAAAGGCGCATATAGTCTAAAACAAAAAGAACACTTTAATAACTCTCCCAGTAGAGTTCGTACCTGCTGTATTGTGCCTGAGATACAGACGCACTGTGAATTGAGACATGCAGAGAATGGCGAAGTGCAGTCATAATGCCGAGTACAACGATCACCAACACGTGAACCGAAAACGGAAGCAAAATGTGAGATTTGTCTATGATCTGGATAGCATACTGAGAACATGTAAGTAAACAGCTCATAATGTTGCAGCCATCTTTCTAACCGTGAAAAGTGAAAAGGCAACGGTGAAGAGGACAGGGTTAGATCACAACAATGATGCTGAGATATTTACAAAACTTGGACCCTATGCCGGATCGAACCGCGATTATTACTCTTTCCGGGGGTTCGCGTGTTGCACACTGCACCACTGAGGTTCTTGATTTACCTTTCTCTCAGCTAGTTTTCTACCTAACGCTGCTATCAGCGTCAGCGAGATTGATCTATGAACCATGAACTGTCATTGAACCCAGTAAAGCCGAGGTTGTAATCGAAATCACAATGCTAAGCTATTATTTACCGCCTAAAGCAATTTTTACGGCAGGGTATTATGTGAAATACAACCAGCATGATGCTAAATCACAATAATTAGGAATGTGAATAAGATTTTCTACAAAAGATAATACAATATGGAAGTGAAGTTTGTAATAACAATCGTAATTAGGATAATTTAATGAGCGTAATTTAAAACGTTGGAAATTAAACAAGTTCGAAGCCCCATATGGTGATACATGTTTCAGATGGAATATATTCTCCGAATTAAATAACACTCGTATGAAAGCGCTACTGGAAGGAGCTCGTATTCACACATTTTGCCGGACGAAGCTTTCAACTTGCATTCCCTCTCATTCCCGTTGACCGGTGATTGCTGATCGCACCGTTAGGGTAAGAAGACTGGCTGAGAGAACAGCAGAACGAAGGTCTCCGTGATGCAGCGTGTAATACGCGAGCCCTCGGAAAGGGAAATCGTGGTTCGATCTGCCGTGGGGTCCAAGTTTTGCAAATATCTCAGCATCACTGTGGATGTATTTCACATACTACGCTGCCGTGAAAAAAGGTACTGGGCAGTAGATAGAAGTTATATGTTGTTAAGTTCCTAATTTTCCAAGCAAGAGGTTACTGAACATCGCTAGCGACATGTTACAATATATTTGCTGTATAAACATGAAAAAAAAATAAACTTCCACATGATGTGGACAGTAATGGCCTTACTTGTTACACATTCTCCGTTACTAATCCGGGTTGTTCCACGTTGTACGCACTGGCACTCGCCATTCCGACAAAACAACGGCTCTCTGCATTTGTTCGTACATGGTGCACCAACTTTTGCTGGTACTGAAAAAAAGAATGCAGTGGAGAGATTCTATTAAGGCGAAGTAATGTCATGGTGAACCGACTTTCGTTTAACCTTGGTAGAAATGGTCAATGCACCTTGTTTCACTGGTAAGGTAACACGACGTTGTTACCAAACTTTTATTCGGCTAATGTCTCGAAGTTTTCGTCTTCCTCAGTGATCCAAATCGATGTCCAAAAAAATGTTAGCCGAATAGATATTGGTAACAACCTCGTGTTAGCCTATCAACGAAAGGCGATACATTGTTCATTTATACAGAAGTTTAAGGAAAGTTGGTTCCCATTGAGATTCTGTTAGAGTTGTGTTGCGACGGTAGAGATCAACTATGGAGAAAGCACGCCAAATAACTTGATTTTATACAAATGTTCCATGGCTAAAAAGAAACTGAAACCTACATGGAACACATCTGACGTTCCTTCCTTTTTCATCATTAGCTTCAATATAGTGTGGATGACATCGACAACGATTACGAAGGCAGATCGACCCCTAAACTGTATATACAAATGTAAACGCTACATTATAAACAAAAATCATAGCAGTTGTTGTTTACTAACTTCCTATTCCTTGTTCATCGCACGGTATGATGTGAAACATAACCACAATGGTGCTGAGATATTTGCAAAACTCCGGACCGCAGGCGTCTGCGGTGGCGATCGAACCCGTTAACCTAGTTAACCTTTCTGGGAGCTAAGGTGTTCACCACCAAACCATGCAAGTCCTTCGTTGCGCCTTTCTCTCAGCCATGTTTTAACCTATAGGTGTTATCAGCAATCACCTGTCAACGTGATTGATCTAAAGAGAAAAATAACCTAGTCTTGCAAGGTCATTGTAGATCTCCAGAAGATCCAACAAGAATCTGTAGTATGCTTTGGAATTTTTATTATTGTAGCAGTTAGCTGGCTGAAGCTTGAATAGAAAGACCATATGGAAGATTTAAATCGTTTAGGCAACTACATTGTTCTAAATCACATCAGACGCAGCACTAGTAGTCCCCTGCAATGCGATCTTCTCGTTAACCTGCACTTCCTTATTCTTAGAATTTCCATCCTTGTAAGAAAGAATAATGAAGGAGATATCATAACTCTTAGCGTAACAAGTCAAGGCTATACAGTATTTAGTTGTAAAAAATCGTCTAATGCAAACACTAGAGTAGTTTGGAAATTACAGTTTTGGTAACTCCCTTCACCACTTCCCCTCAGGCAAAATACATTAAGTATTTGTAACTGTTGGCCTTTCAAGCTTAGAATGATCTCGACGCCTCCATCAGGAAGCCCAACTAACAGTAAGCCAATACCAGGAATCACCACGGCCCTGGTATCAAAGTCACATGGAAGCAAATCTCCCTCTTATCCACAAGGGCGGCGACTGCCTGTGGTGGTGACGATCTGGAGCTAACTTGGTCTGGTTGACTTCGGGACACCAGGGAACCACAATGGCTAAACCAGCGGGGTTCCGAGGAGTGGAGAACATGCTAGGGCCCGCACAACCAGTGAGGACGGGCCATCCAGGTAAGTAAATATTAGTAAATGTTACCCAATGAGATCCACTGACGAAATAACTGTTAAAGAAAGTCAATTACGTGGAAACAATAGCACAGCAAATGAGAATGAAAAGTGGATTACCTTACGTTCACAATCGGCGTTAACGTCACAAACTCCTCCTACGGCCGATTTACCTAAATTGAAATAATACAGCTTTTCATTTCAGGATTAGAACTTCATCAACATTGGGTTAATGATCCCTATCACAGTTCGTCTCCATCTCTTACAGCTATCGCTATCTATCGAAAACAGGTATTGGTCCAGCTGGACTAAATCTTAATAAGGACGCATTAAAGAACAAGAAGCTTAGCCCTAGTCGCCGTAAAGATGTTGCACAACAACATTATTACAACACAGTAATATACAAAAGTAAAAAGGGAAGAACAAAAATTAGAAACTAAATGAAAGCAGGTGCAAATAGTTGAAGGAATGCTTCGATTTCTTGTTAGGCCGAATAGTTTCAAACAAGAACCACATCCGGCTATCGTTTAGTTAGGGCCTTGAAGAGGATTTTCGCTGTTCTACTGCAGTAAACGATTAGTTTCTGAGAAGAAAACTACGTAAATCCGACCTAATCGATAAATCTAAAGTCCTGTTGGTAGATATGATAACATTCCTAGTCAATAACTGGCCAGATTATTTCATGAGAGTGTAGAGTTTTCGAGAATAGCAAAACTTATCCTACATAAACCGAATTTGAGGTAGTAGTAGAAAAACGAAAGACTTAAGGCAACGTACCGTTACATGGAGTATAGCTTGAGGCTTGTAGATAAGCTAAAGTGTACAGAGTAGATAAAAATAAAATCGATATCATTCCGGAAACTTCGATGATCCACTATGGATGCGATCGATAGTGTCGATGGATCGGTCGCAAATCTGCCCAGCCCAGCCTTGAATGGCTGGCTGTCTATCTACGTGACCGCATTTCTTTCTCATCATCGAACGAACACATAAGCTTGGATTCATCGATTACACATTTCGTGGATTTGTAGTAGACTCATCAACTTGTACGATAATCAGGACCAGAACGAGTTAGGAATAGCAAGGACGAAGTATGTAGCCCCTCGGAACCCAGTTTCACTAAACCTCGGCAGAACTAATCAATAATTTGATAGTTATAGAAATAAATAGCATCTCCTGAAATGTGGATGATTTCAGAGGTTTAGAGTATGAGGGTATGACATGAAGGATTGTAACAATTGGGCAATTTGTGGGAAGTACCGATTCATTAGTTATCTGGGTTCGTCATCTTTCTGAAGAATCTGACGATTTCACTCGACTTGTCTGATCCCAATGATCACGTCAACCGGCGAGCTTCGATACCGATCAAGAGGTCCCTTGTATTTGTCAGTTCCATTTTCCAAATAGTTGCATAATGGTGTAATAATCAACTTTCGAAGTTCTCATCTTCTTCCTCAGAGCCAGATGGATTAGAGTCAATGATCCACAGGGTGAACGTCCTTATTCGGCTAACGTTTCGACGTCTTCGTCTTCTTCCTCAGAGCCAGATTGATCTAAGTCGATGATCCATACGGTTGTCATCCTTATTAGGCTAACGCTTCCACGTTTTCGTCTTCCTCTGCTCTTCTGATTTGGTGGACCCGACTTGATGCGAAGACCACAAGGACGTCACATCGAGTAGACGAACGAACGCGGATCATCGACTCGCATCAATCCGGCTCTGTGGAAGAAGATGAAGGCGTCGGAATGTAAGCTGAAGAAACACCTTTATCAACCTCGTGTTAGCTTATTAATCAAAGAAAGTACTGATTATTTAGCTCCTCTTTTGGTCAGTGCGCTTTGTATAGCTTCAATCCTGAAATAGCCTTTATTGGATTGGATCGTGCAACGGTTTGAAAAAGTCCTCAATAGCAGTCGAAAACTAGAAACGACTACAAGAATACACAGGATTTCGATATGGTTGTACGACTCTGTACTTTACTTACTTTACACCTTCATGTTCCTTTAGTTTTTTAACTCAAACCATTGTATCCTCTAAAACATCACAGTAGTTTTGAAGTGGAACACTTATTGTTAAATTACAAACTTGTTCAATATTCCTAAAATTATTGGACCTTTTCAAAGGCTTATTTCTCCATCAGGAAGATAATCAGGGATTTATACATTCAGATGTAGAGGGTCTACCACTGTGATCGGAGAATTGTTAAACAATGAATAACTAAGTGGAACCGTTATCAGAATGAAACAATTTCAAAATGAGTTTCTGGTGAAACTGTTTTCTCTTCAATGGGATTGAAATCTAGCTACTGCAGTTTTTCATCTGAGGTTATGGAAGCACCCACCTAATTCTTTACCGCCTCATCGTGGCTGAGAGGTGTTCCTAGGTGTCGGATGCACAGCGTGTGGTTTATCCCCAGCAGCACATCCCAAGCTGAGAAAGAGTCCGACGTTTCCATCCGGAAATCCAGGAAATAGTAAAGCAATACCAATGCAAGGAATGACCACCGTTCTGGTACCAAACTGGTTGCATGGTGACAAACATCCCCCATCCACAAGGGCGGCGACTGTTTGAGGTGGTGACGACCTGAGAAAGGCTTCAGCTTAGGCTGACCTCGTGATTGCAGGAACCGCAATGGCTAAACTAGCAAACGGATTGGACATTATGCTGGGACCCGCACAACCAGTGAAGACGGGCCATCAAAGTATTCCAAACCAAATGAAAGTATATGGAGGTACTTGGCTAACCAGGTCACGGTTAACTTGACCTTCCCAGGCTTTGAGAAGCAGGTGAATATGAAACAGATGGGAAATTGTTATAATTCCAGATTTGGGCTGCCGAAATCAAGTACTTCGGTGTTCTTATGATAATAAGATAATCTGCAAAGTTGTAACCGCAATGATGGTGAGATATTTGCAAAACATGGGCCCTGGTACAGATCCGAACCCGTGATTAGCTTTTCAGGGGGCTCACATGTTACCCACTGCACCACTGAATCTGCAAAATTATGCGTTATGATTTGTGTCTGCCCCTAATTCTTCTCTATCCAGTAATTTCCTCGTATTCCTATGAAGTATGTCGCTAAAAATTACGCAAAAGGGCATTGGCTCTTGCGTCGTCAATTATTCAAGAGCTCAAGAGTGTGGCGGGAAGAAAAAAGACTCAGAAAAACTCTTGCAAAAACAACGAGCCATCTGAGTGTTCTTGCTAAATGTTGTTCGTTGGAAGAGCAACTATGGGATCAGATCAATTCTTGAATGTTGTGAAGCTGGAACTACCAAGTCCTAAATTTCATTTGCCTACTTTTATTTCAAAACCGACTTCCCTTTAACCTCAGCACGACTAATCAATATGCATTCTTTCTTTGATAAAATCAGACAAAGTTGTTAAGTCGAAAGTCGATTCCAGTACTTATCAACCGCGTGTAAGCTTATCAAATAAAAAATACACATTGCCTACTTTTACCTCCAACTTGATCAGGATCATAGGCGACTTCAGTTTCCCGCCTTTCAAGGATTATTTCAGGAACCCTTTAACCATATCGCGACGGTACTCTCACTTTAGTTCATTTATTACTTATTACGTCCCATCTTAGATTCAATACTCCCTTCTAACTAGTAAATATTTTCGACTAGTGCAGGATCGTTCTTGGGGCTGTGGATTCGTTGGATTCGTACAATTCACCGCCATGTGAGGACGAGATATCATGCATGCGGCCGGTGACGTCGGCGGTTTGCGCGCTTTTTTCTTTGTCTTTCATCGTCTTTACTCAAGTGCTTTACTAAGTTTGGTTATTAACTCTTGCTGTGTAGTGCATTCTCCTCAATTCGTACTTCATAGAGGATTTGTCAACGGTTTTTTCTTTTCTTGGCTTGACTGCAACGCTAATAATTCTTTCTGGCTATTTGATGAGGCCAGTGCACGCGATTCTAGCGGATCGATGTGCGTAAAATGACTACTGCTGTCGAAATGCAATGCCCTTGTTCGGAGTCTTCAAGTGTTCCCTTTCAAGATTTCTTGCATTTTGACAGTACTAGGACAAAAAAAGTACTACTAATTTTGTTATTAAGCTGTTCTACAGTTCCTCATCTACTTTAGCAATGTTTTCCTTAATCTTCTTCATGTTTACTTCATTCTGTACT